TATAGACATATTTTATATATAATTATATATAATTATATATGAAACATTTTTTTTCTCAGACATGCGTTAAAAGTTTATTTATTACGATTCTACCAAGTCTTTAAAAATCTGGAAAACAATCTAATCGGCCTTCTACAATAAGCTATTAGAATAAATAAATCAGAAGTCAGACGTTCAAAATTGACAACTGTGATTGGTCAATTTTTAGATTCTGATTTATGACTAATGGCTTATTGTAGAAGATCCACTTTTTGCATCAATGTAAGTTGACTCAAAAAAGTTGACCTAAAAAAAAAGTCATAGCAATCGAATATGGAAAGGGTAAGAATAATACTTTAATATGACATCTAGATGCCGAAAAAAAATTGTTAAACATTTTGTAGATCGTTGAAAATGCATCATTTTTTGCATGGTACTTTTAGATTAGAATATCTCAAAAGACGTCATACGATAATTTCGGAGTCACATTCGTAACAACTTCGTTTTACTTTAATTAAAGTCAAAATGGTGTCAATCAATTATTATTGCACTTTTAATTATTGTTTCCAAATGGTAAAACCAATATACGCCACTTTATCCGCTGATCCGTATAATTAATAGACCGATTGACGTTCGTATCAAATGGAGTGGAAAAAACATTTTTAACATGTTCGCGACACTATGCTTCGAGAAGATTAGCGAAGGAGATATAATTTACGATAAACCATTATCCCACACATAAGCTTTTATAAAGTGCTGCTAATGGCGTAGCGCTTTAATGAGAATATATTTTTCATAAGTGTGATGAGTGAAATATGATGAGAAAATGCGTTCTTATCTTACTTGAAATTTTTCCGTCATTATTATATTTACGACAATCTATTCGGCAAACTGCATACAGAATTTGTTACGCTCGAACTAATGTTTTTGTGACTGTTATAGCGGTAATTGGAAAATCAATAAAGCATGTATTTATACAATGCCTTTTGGCTGCCCAGAGACCGGCACGAGTATTCGTGGATAATGAATAAATTTGCACGAAACCTTCGTGTAAGCAATGAGAGCGTGAACGTGAAAAATACCTGTGTAAGCCTTTCGACATAACGCTGTGCTAATATCACATTTATTGCATATAGCCGATAAAGAAACGGATCTTACAACAAGACATGATGCGCCTTTTGATTTATATTTAATCGTTATATAATAGATAGCGGAATAGAGATTAATAATAATAAAAAAGAATTCTTGATATTGATAAGAAATAAATACAATAATAGGACATGTAAGAGTCTAAATTAATGATTTTTTTTTGTATGTTAAAAAAAAATATTACACGATAAAATCATTATATTCTAATCAATTACAATTAAATTACAATATGACACATGTTTGATTGAAATAGAGATTATAAATAAAAATTAAAATCAGACGCACACGAAGAAAAGATAGTTTCATTATAAATAATTGTCATTATACAAGAGAGATCCGCATAACTAAGCAAATTTCATCTTTGAATTTCAAGAATATCTGAAAGTAAACTTTACTTATTTACATAATACACACACACACACACACACACATATATATATATATATATATATAT